TGAAAGTTTCGTCGCGATCGGCCGCTTTTTACGCGAGTTATTTGCGAAAAACCATGGGGGGGTCCGTTCGACCCCCTATACGGGCGAGGGTTAAAATTGGGTATCTTCGGCTTCCTCTCGTCACGGGCAACACGCTCGTTTTTTCCGCGAAGCTCTAGCTTGATCAGGGGCGAAACGGCAAGGGGGGGTCCAACGGACCCCCCCCCCCCCTTATACGTTCGCGGCTGGAAAAACGCCAATACGGGCGAGGGTTAACCCGCGCACCGACAACTTAGAACCGACGTGGGGCGCGGATGACCGCCCCCCCCCCCCCTGAGATCTCGAGAACGAAGCAAGATAGCGACAAGCGGTAAACGGCATCGGATACGCACGGACAAGGTCTACAATTTTTACAAAGGTCATTTTTAGGTCAGGTCAAAGATGACGTCACAGGGGTGAAAAAAGTCAAAATGGCGGCGCTAGATATGGAGATAGTTTTTTCTCGAATAACTTTCGAATTAGTCAAGATAGGAACAAACTAAGGGCATCATCGCGATCCTCTCGTCAATCCGCGTCGACTGATATATATATGTTGACCTCGAAAAGTCAAGGTCAAAGGTTAACCTCAGGTCACGTGACCTCGATGTCATCATGTATATCATTCGATGCGTCTTGACGAGCTGAACACAATGAGACCATCCGCGCGGCTGTATCTTGTTCCTGTACGGAGTTATTGGCAAAAAACCTTTGATGACCTTTGATGACGTCACATGACCTTACAGCTGCCCAACAGCAAAACCGACCTCAAGGTAGTGAAGGTTGATCGTATATGAAGTCATGTATGGTATATGGGGCCATTCCGACGCGTTTTAGTGGTAAAAACAGGGAGTTGATTTTTCCCCCCATTGACTTATAATGGGGAGGTCGAGAAATTGACCTGACCTTAGGTCATCGATATCAAAATTCTGAGACGTACAAATTGTAGCTACTAATGACCTAATAACATCCTGCGACTTTCAAAGGCCTCCGACATCTACTGTAGCTCTGGCACGGTGACAAAGTTGCAAAAAGTGACTTGAGGTTGGGTCATTCAAAGTGACCTGGTGACCTGACCTTTAAAGTTAGGAGGTTCAAATTTGCACACCATGTGTAAAATTGATGACACAATTGTCGTACCAAATTTCGCTTCCCGCTATTTGCGAAAAACCTCAGGGGGGGGGGGCGGATATCCGTCCTCCCCCCCCCCCGTCGGTGCGCGGGTTAATTCAGGAAACTGCTTCATTTAGTCTGCACCTTTGTGTTGTGTGTGTATTTTAGCGAAATTTTAGACAGGCTAAAGAAGAAAGGGAAACGTCTTTCGAAAGCTCCCGCAACATATAGGTAAACGAAGCTGGTGTTTTAAACATTTTTAATGATAGAATGATTAACAAACTACCAGCTTATCTCAAGAATGTACTCGTATATTCGCCACACGACATCCTTTTGTGATCGCTCGGATTACAGAATTTCTAGGATCACTCGAAAAAAGTAAGGGTGCAAAAGTGCAAAACCTTCAACGCCCATAGCCAGTTCTGAAACATGTTCAACACCAATCTGCTCACGTTTATTCTGGCTAGTCTTATTTTATCAGCACAAAGCCTAGGCTGGTTTAGTCTGGGTAGTCTACATGCTGTAAACTCATTTTGACAAGGGGTTGTCGTACAACGACGAGCGTTTGTCAAAAATACTAATAAAGGTTATGTCGAACAATGAATATCTTGTCATAGTCGGTTGAATCAACAGGGCAAATATGTATAAGTATCAGCCCCAGCACCTAGTCGACCATTCATACTATTGACGAGGATTATGGAGGCTATTGTGAAAACTACCAGGGGCTTATTCGTAATATGGAACATAGATTTGCTTATGATTTGTAATTTATATCCTTGTCGAAAGAACCAGCTACACCTTTGCAACAATACTGATACATACTTATGTAATCTATGTCTTTGTCGAAGGTATCAGCTACACTTTTGCAACACGGACTTAGTTACGCTAGTTTGACATGTTAGTAGTAACATACACAAAGCTGTTATTTGTTATATAGGTGGCGCCAAAAACGTTTCCGGCCGTTTCATTTTGAAAGTTTCAGTTGCGCACCAACCGTCGTGCAGTGATGTGGCCTCCTGCGCACTTCCGTGAAAATGGTAGGTAATAACAGTGTTCGGTCGTTTTTGTCATTTTTAAATGAAATGTTTGTCTATCAACTGATAGTAATGCAGATTGAATCAGAGAAATTTGCTGAATAAGTGCGTGATGTATGGAAGCAAGCACAATATGTTCTGCTCAAGGCCATATTGTTCTCATGCTTGATGTTACTGCTAGAGATGCTTTCTTTCAGGCTTTCATTAGGAGCGAAAGCTCAAGCTTGCAAGCAAGGGTCGCTACATTGAAGACAGCAAGCTGCAGAAACTCAAGAAGTCTAAAAATGAAAAAGCACCTGAATTCCAAGGGGCTAATGAATTTGAATGCCCCATAGATTCGAATGGGTTTGCCCCTTAAAATTCATGTTCCGTGCAGACTTAGAAATATTTTTTTCCAAATCAAGGCATTCCTCGATGTTGCTAGTCCCAAAACCGGTTATTGCGAGCCAGGGGACCCAAGTTGTGTATCTTAACTCAAAGCTAATGCATGTAAACGTGAGATTCTACAGTGTAAGTGCTGACGCTCATTGCCTTTTCGCATGCGTTATTGCCCTTGGGTCATCAGTGTCATCACTATTGTGTGTGTAATGTGTATGTACCATTTTAAATACATGACCTTTCAGTAATGCTGTTTTGCTGTAATCATGAGACTCCAGAGCGGAGACCTGCGATTTGTGGAGAAAACTGACGAATACAAGGGAGGTCTTTGTAAAACGTTACAAGCCTGAGACTAGTAGATTGCTTACAAGTACAGGTTTGCTGCACGTAGACATTACAATGGTAACTAAGATTTGCATTGATTTGACTTAACCCGCGCCCGGCTGGGGGTCCTGGATTTCCACGCCCTGCTGGGGGGGGGGGGGTGTTTGAACACCCCCCCTTGTAACTCGGCTCCTGGGCCACGTAGCGATACGCGGAAGGCGGCGTTCGAAAGAGCGTCAAAAATAATGACGAAATCACTTCGGTCAATTTTTTGGTCAGGTCAAAGGTCAGGTCACCAGAGGTCATTGAAGGCAAAATTTCGCCGATTTCCAGGTCGAATGTCGAAAATTTCCAAGAAGCCAACGCATAACTCGGGAACCAATAGAGCTACAGCGCCGCGGAAAAGCGCATTTGATAGCCCTATTAACGCCCTTTCTGAGCAATTCTCTCAGATTTGACCTAACGTCAACGGTTTTGCCTGCAGGGGGCAAAAACTGCAAAAATAGCCGATTTTTTCGGAAACAGTTTTTCTGCAATAACTTTTGACCCAAGCCTTGTACGAGCTTACTTTCACCGGCATCGTGTTCCTCTCGTCAAGACGCATCGAATGAACTATAACTTGACCTTGAAAGGTCAACTTGAAAATTTGACCTCAGGTCAAGGTCATGACCTGACCGGAAAGGGTCATGTTGCATATCAGTCGATCCGTATCGTCGAGCTGAACACATCTAAGGCGTTTTCATCGCTCTAGCATGCCTCTATCAAAAGTTATTTGCGAAAAACTGTTAGATACCATTCGTGACCTAAGATGACCTCAGGGCATAAACAAGGGTCACAGACACCATTTTCATGTTCAGTGTGTCTAAACCACTTGTAATTCGGTGTTTGGGAGTGTTTATAATGTCTTTCATCCAAAAGAGGCGCATTTCAATTTTCTCCCATTGACTTATAATGGGGAGGTCGCAAAATTGACCTGACCTTAGGTCATCGATATCAAAATTCTGAGATATACATTTTGTACATGCTATTGCTCTTAGCAATCGCTGAAAGTTTCAAAGCGATCGGTCACTCGGTGTAGCTATGACAGACATTGAAACTTTTTATGAGGTGAGGTCACTTCAAGTGACCTGGTGACCTGACCTTGAATGACCTTGGTCTACAATTTTCACAACATGTGTAGAATTAATGTATGATAAGGTGTACCAAAAACGGCGGCGCTCCGCGCCGCCGTTTTTGAGATATTCGCGAAAAACCACAGGGGGGGGTGTTCAAACACCCCCCCCCCCCAGCAGGGCGCGGGTTAACAAGTACACGGCTCAGCCCCGTTAAATGCAAACATGCGCAGGTCTTTACCTAGTAGCCGCATGATTATAACTAGGAACACAGTCGTTCACATATACAATGACAAAGCAAACTTTGGTAGCTAGTCTAACGAACTACATGTGAGTGGGTTGTAAGAACAACTACCATGACAAACAATAGGGTTGTTCGATGACATGGCAAAGGGTGCGGGGATTTGCGCTAAATAATTTTCCTTGTAAAAGTAACAAACGTTTGTTGAAATGAGTTTACAGTGTAGTCAAGTCCGCACGCAGCAACTAGTCTAGCTTAATCATTATTCAGCAGTCAGCACCCAACCTAGTCTGGTTTGATCAATCAGTGTCTAGCAAGTACCAAGCTATCATCGAACCACCGCAGACAGGGTGTTTTGGTTCCAGTCAGCCCCATGCCCACTGAGGGGTACAACCGGAACGAGTGGCGCCTTCCGGTGCCGACACGCGGAGGCGAGGGACAACAGATTAGTAACGCCACGTCAATCACTGAGTTAGGCTTGTGGTGGGCCAAAATGGGAAGTTGACTTTTTTCTTTCTTTTATAGCGCGTTTCTTTAATTTTACATATTTTATCTTGTACTTTATCCGCGCTGCTGGAAATTTTGGTACATCACATTTAATCGTACTATTATTTATTATTTACGTACTTTTACTCTTGTTTGCTCCATTTTTTTATTTTTAGTTAGGCCTTTATGATTTATTAATAAGCGGCGACAACTGAAAAGGATGACCTACAAGTTCCGCTCACCAGATCGTCTGGCACGAGCAGGTTTCCAGTAGTTGACATGAGTTTAGATACTCACAGGTTGGCGAATCGCCTCTATGTCTGCTTGACTGTATTGGTGTATTCCCAGCTGCAGCTTGTCTTCTTAGGCTGCCAGAGTGATTACAAACTGACTGGCCTGTCGCGAGTCGCTTCTATGATCGACACTTCAACGGAAAATCCTCCAGTTTCCGATTCGGTTAACGGTGATCTATCTGCCTACCAGGCAGCTACATCGTACACCAAATCACCAGCCGGCACCAACTCCGCCACTGCCACCATCACACAACCGCTGCACCATTTCACTATCTCAACGCCACCGCGTGTCACTATCAGTTCTCGGAGGACCAGTGAGTCTATCCTTTCCGCCTCTCCCGCTATCACTCTTTCCGCCTCTCCACAGCACCACACCAGCAGACACGAACGGACCACGACCACAGAGCCAGACAACTACTGCCAGCACCAGGTGACGTCACTCATACATGACGTCATACCCTTCCACGGCCGCCACCCATTGGCTGACTCACCGCTGTGAAATGATTGCGGGCGGTGGATGGTGTGGGTCAGGAAAATTGAAGGACAAAACACTGATCCTTGAGTAACACCAAAACACACCCTCCCTACGGGGTCTCTGGGAATAAATGACTACCTCCTAATGGGCTTGATGTATTCTCTCGAACAGGCTACGGTGCTTCCGTAGTGGTCCACCATCTCCTGGCCTGGGTGCGCCCGTGAAACAAGGCCAGCATGGGGCCGATTCGCGCGGTCTTGTGAGCTAGGAGCCGATTAGATAAGTGGTACCGCAATTTGATGGCTGCTGGGAGCTGTGACTAGCGTCGGATGCCCAGTCAGCCACAGGCCACAGAGTAGGTACTCACTACATAGCCACGTTAAACTTACTCAGTTAAATGGAAAATAAAACAATCATATTATTAAATTTATGAAATGAAGAATGAAGAAAATTTAATATAAAAATATGCACTTCATGCATTGATTGCCATAGACCAGGTATAATGATCAATGAGATGTGGTGTCGCGATCAAATCTTTTTTATATCAATATGCTAAGATTCCCTATCCGGAAATAGAAATACCTACATTTTCTAAATTGTAATAGAAGTGAAACTGTTAGACCGAAAACTCTAAGACATTTGTATTTGAACCATTGAGCTGGCTGTTTGAACAGCACGCAGTTACAAATTATATCTTGAGCAAAGGCAAGTGGCCCTTTGCCTTATTTGCGGCCACTTTTAACCCACGAGCCGCTGGGGGGGGGGGGGAGACATAAAGTTGCCCTCCTTTACGTTTTGCGGAATATCTACGGAGGTGAGCGACGAAAGTGAAACTTGGCATAGCTTCAAATGAATGCCTAGGCAATGTTTGAGGAGAGTTTGGTGGTTGTAGCACTTAAGATGACGTCACAGTGACGTCATTAAGTTTTGTCGTTTTCCAATATGGACCGTTTCTGATGTCGCTGAGCATGACACTCAACTGTAAATGAACTAGACAGCACCTGCTGTCATCCTGAAACATCTAAGCACACTTCCAACTTGTTTCTGGCCAATAATCGGTCCTTTATATTCGGTCTCATATATCGCATATATCGTGAGGAAACTGAGAGTCGCAAATCTGTAATTTGACTTCTGACGTCACTGTGACATCAAATTTGCCTGGGCCAGGTATTCAGGAAGATGTGTGCAAAGTTTCGCTTCTCTATCTTTTCGCGTTGCGACCATGTCGTCGCAGAAGTAAAGGGGGCAACTTTATGCCCCCCCCCCAAGCGGCCGGCGGGAGGCGCGGAGGCCCAGCGGCCGCCGGGTTAAAGTTAAACACATATTTTGCCCGACTTACCTAACTGGGGCCAAGCGTATCTTGATCTTGTAAAGACCAGCGAAATTCTCCTCACTGCAAGACGCATATGAGACAGAATGTGAGACGGATACGGACTCCTGACAAGATAAATGGGCCTGGCTTTTAATGATGCCATAGCCCCTCAGCTGTGATCATTATTGAAGAAAAACTGAAGAGAAGGTATGCCCGTTCGTCCTCTAACATATACAAACTCGAAGGCTAGCGCCAGTGGCGGCCGGTAACCATACTGCTGTTTCCTTATCAACTCACTGGTAGTGCAGGGGGCACTACTCGGGCGGAGCTCGACGTAAAACACTGCACCAGGCAGACGCTGTAATGCTTTCAGTTGATGCCTAAATATACATTCCGACCCCTTTGCATCGCCTGCAGCAGCTAATCTTCGGTCAAAACCCGCTACTACTTATTTTTGCTTCCGGTTGAGAGTTTTTGGTCGTAACTATGGTATGTAGGTATGTTTAGACGTTCTCCCTTCGTCAAACAGTGCCTGCGATTCGTCGATTCGGAATATCAAATTCGGAGGAGCTGATCACTTTCAGTTTCGACTTTTGAGGCACTGGTTTTCCTCAAACAATGCCAGGTAGCCATTAGAACTAGACAGGGAATTCTCCACACTCCACAGTGGCGCCTTTCACTGTTCGGGTGTCGATGGATGGGCGCTGACTTAGACACCTATAAGTAGGTAAGCCGCCTGCCGCGCCGAATCCACGTCAATTATTCAGTCGGGACACAGGGCTTGGTCACGGCTGTGAGGGCCACCACAGTCCCAGCCCATGTAGGTAAAGGCGGATGTTGGGTTCTGTAGGAATATTCAACACCTACCAGCTGATGGTCGGGGGCTTGTTTTTAGCACCGCGAAACGTCTTCCGAAAAAAAATAATCGAACCAGTTTAGTGCGCATTGGCTTTGGAAAGGAAACCATTGGGAAGGAGCACTATTGTCGTTTCATTAGAAAATGAAAGTTAATATTTGGTGTTCAATTCATTAACCCGCGCACCGACGGGGGTCTGCGCCAACTTCGTACCGACGGGGGGGGGCGGATGACCGCCCCCCCTGAGATCTCGAGAACGAAGCAAGATAGCGACAAGCGGTAAACGGCATCGGATACGCACGGACAAGGTCTACAATTTTTACTAAGGTCATTTTCAGGTCAGGTCAAAGATGACGTCACAGGGGTCGAAAAAGGCAAAATGGTGGCGCTAGATATGGAGAGAGTTTTTTCTCGAATAACTTTCGAATCAGTCATGATAGGAACAAACTAAGGGCATCATCGTGATCCTCTCGTCAATCCGCATCGAATGATATATATATATATATATATATTGACCTCGAAAAGTCAAGGCCAAAGGTTGACCTCAGGTCACGTGACCTCGAGGTCATCATGTATATCATTCGATGCGTCTTGACGAGCTAAACACAATGAGACCATCTGCGCGGCTGTATCTTGTTTCTGTACGGAGTTATTGGCAAAAAACCTTTGGTGACCTTTGGTGACGTCACATGACCTTACAGCTGCCCAACAGCAAAACAGACCTCAAGGTAGTGAAGGATGATCGTATATGAAGTCATGTATGGTATCTGGGGCCATTCCTACCCGTTTTAGTGGTAAAAACAGGGAGTTGATTTTTCCCCCATTGACTTATAATGGGGAGGTCGCGAAATTGACCTGACCTTAGGTCACCGACTGCAAAATTCCGAGATATACAAATTGTAGCTACTAATGACCTAATAACATCCTGCGACTTTCAAAGGCCTCCGACATCTACTGTAGCTCTGGCACGGTGACAAAGTTGCAAAAAAGTGACTTGAGGTTGGGTCATTCAAAGTGACCTGGTGACCTGACCTTAAAAGTTAGGAGGTTCAAACTTGCACACCATGTGTAAAATTGATGAGAGAATAGTCGTACCAAATTTCGCGGCGCTACGCGCCGCGGCTATCCGCGAAAAACGTCAGGGGGGGCGGATATCCGCCCCCCCCGTCGGTGCGCGTGTTAATAGGTATTCAGGAAAACCGTTATTTTGACATTCATAAAGCTTTTTATACAGAGCCGAAGGGTAGATTCCGTATCTTACAAAACAAACGGCGGGCCACAGCCATGTGCAATATGCATTATGCATAGTTTAATCGCTGTTATAAAACGGACACAACCACCGCTTTAAAAGCCTAGCTAGCAATTTATGATGGAATGACCTCCACCACATGCAGTGTAATATATACATATTTCAGGGCAAATGACCTCATCGCTTTACCTCAATATATTTAGATCTAGTAGACACCGAGAAGGAATTTCTTAATTTCGATTGTCGTTGTTAAAAAAAGAATAAAACATATGGGGTGTGATTTTTCAATGTTGTGTTTACGTATTTTGTTCTGCTCTAAACATCGATGACAGTGTAGCTACAAAAAAAAATCTGGTTGTCTGAAAATTTCAACGTAAGACGACACAGGAAACTCAAGGCAGGGCATGCTTTACATCAGTGGTCGGCAGGTCATTCGGGGTCGTGCCCCCTTTTTGGGCGCCAGGCAGGGCCATTACCCCCACCTACCAGACCCCATTGCTGACACAACCAAGTTTACTGAAATGCCATACCGTCCTGGAACTCTTTGGATATTTGTGCATTTCCAATGCATCAAATTTAAAACATGACACTTCCTCCACAAAACATTTAATACCTATATCCCAGTAGCGGCGGAACACCTTCAATTAAGGGGGAGGGGGGGGGGGGGCACTGCCGACTTTTGGTCCCATTCTTTCCATGCAACGCCCATAGGGCTAATGTTAAAATGCAAAAATCAAAGGGGGCACGGTGCCACGGTGCCCTCCCCGTTCCGCCGCCTATGCTATATCCCATTTAACCCTTGTACGTATAGGGGCGGCGGGTGGTTTTTCGTTAAAAGCTCACGTAAAAGGCATTGGATCACGACCAAATTGTACCCTCGAGCCCATCATTTTTTTTTCCAGCCCGGAAAATATCATGACCTGAGACCAGTTTTACCAACAGAAAAATAACCGCCTGCCGGAATTTTTGCCTCAAGACCGCTTCACATACGGAGCGTAAACGCGATGGGCTCGTAAGCGGATAGGGCTTTACCGTTTACGCTCCATATGTGAAACGATCTTTAGGCAAAAAATTCCGGCAGGCGGCTATTTTTATGTTGGTAAAACTGGCCTCTGGACCTATAATGACCGTTGGCTTATGAGCTTTTTCTGGAGATCATCTTGAGCCATAAAATCTCACTTCAAGAAGTTATAGCGGGTCCCGATTTTCTCGACACTTGTCATTGCCCTCTTGAATGAGACGGAATGACCAAGGACCTTAAAAATGGTCAGCAGCGGCTTCCTATTGTCACGGGTAGCACGCTCGTCTTTTTTATGCACAGCTCCATCCCAGAGTCCGAGAGGCCGCGGGGGTCCGATCGACTCCTCCCCTTTACGTTAGCGGCTGTTGAAACGCCAACAGACGGGCGACGGTTAAAAGCTGCAGCTGCTTTTGAACGACTGTACGGAGGGGTGAGATGGTGAGGCGAGCAGGTACGTCAAAATTGGTATCTA